TACCCCTGTCTCCCTTTCTTGATCCATCTTCTTCCCTTATTTCGATCAATCTTCTTCCTTTCTTTCTTCCTTTTCTTTCTTCCTCTTCTTCCTCTTCTTCCTCTGTGTTACTGGGTTCCCTCAACCCAACTGATCGAGGTTCAAGGGAACCCAGTAGATTTAGATTTCGTTGAACCCAACTTGGGTTTGATGGAACCCAGCCTGGGTTCCTCAAACCCAGCAAATCTGGGTTTGACGGAACCCAGCAATTGGGTTCCACCGAACCCAACTCCACTTTTTTTTTTTTTGGTTATATATTTGTTGCTTGTTGGGAAGAGTTTATGCAAATTACAGGTTGTAAGGGATTTTTGGGATTCTTTTGCTTCATATTTTCTAATTATTATCTAAATGATTTTAATGTTCAAAATGAAAAGAACATTGCCGACGATGGAAAGAACAAAAGCAACGACCAATGAGCAAAAATGCAATTTTCACTGGGTTTCCATTTGCTTGGCTAGGTTAGAAAATTGTACATTTGGGTGTTTGGATGCTTGAATGCTGAAAAAATAGTTTCAATTAGTGTTTTGGAATAGATGTTTGGTTGTCGAGAAAATTTTAATATCTGTTAAGAAAATTTGTTAAGAAAATTTGTTGAGAAATTTGGGATTTAATTAGAATTTCAATTTTGATTAAAATAAATAGTTATAATTTAATGATGATTGGTCAGTAGAATCTGATTTGGTATCATTTTTATGCATATAAGCATTTTGATTTAATTTAATTTGTCATATCATTAAAAAAATATAAAAAAATGTCACGTAATTTGCCACATAATTAAAAAAATATAAAAAATATCATGTAATTTGCCACATCATTAAAAATTATAAAAAATGCCACATGGGCGGAGTTAATGGTTCAAATTGACAAAAGGATCAACGGTTTGCATTTTTTAGAATTGAGGAATAAAAAATGTGTATAAAATACTTTAAGGACCAAAAATGTACAAATTGATAAAGTTGAGGGGTCAAAATAAACATTTAACCTTCACAATATTTGTCAATACTATTTGTCATCATAATATAGTAATAATTTTTATTGACATTTTCTCATCTGACGAAAATGTAAATCGATATACATCCACTTAAATGGTACTACCACATAAATTGTCAATGAGTGTTCACAACAAACATTGAGGATAAATCATTGTCGTTTACTTCGTCTATATCCATAATCTATCTTTGACTGAAGTGCCATGTGATGTGGAGCAGACTTTATCTTTATTTGAAGTGACTGAATGCCATCCGGCATTGCCTTAGAATTCCTTTCCTTTTCTCCATTAGTCAAACAAGTTTCAACTTGAATTTGGCAAAATCAAACTCGAAATATAATTTTGAGGCCTTGGTTCAAAAGCAGCCTTGAGCTAAATTATGAATGAAGCCTGTCATAGACATTTTAGCTTTAGATTTCAAGTTCAAGTATCGATATTGAGATGTTCGGGTTCAAATCTACATCACTTGCGCAAATTGCTAACCCTTGTAAATAATGAAATGAGTCCATCAAGGCCGATATTATTAATCTCATGCTCATTTCTAACTAGTCTACGAGAGACAGAAAATTTTATTTATGTCATGCTCATATCTCTAACCAGTGCACAAGAGAGCATTTTTCTCGACCACGGTTCTTGAAATATCTTATTTGTTCTTGTAATGTTACATAGAAAATTGCAAACCATGCAAGCAATTCCTAGCTTGCTCTTAGAAACATACATGGGGAGGAATGAGCTTCCCTGGATTCATGATATTGTTAGGATCTAGGGCTGTTTTGATTTTTTTCATTGTCTGCAATGCCTCTATGCCGAGTTCCTTTTCAAGATACTGGGAACAGAAAGGAATCAGAGTCAGATCAACAATCATGTTTCCATGAACATCATAAACAAGAAACTCAGTTTTTAGAACTGGAACAACGCTTACTGTATGTCAGAGTGTTAATTGAGTTGTTAGAATAAAGCACAGAACTGATGGACATTACAGTTAATTGTGTGTGGATTAACTTTTGAATAGTGCAAGACAGGCACATGCATGCGATTTAGTTCTAATGGAGTAAATTTTTGCTTGTTCTATGTTATGTTGTCAAGCATGTAAGTTTATACAGTGACGATGCCCCAGAATTTAAGATTGTAAAAGGTAGAACTAAATAACAACACTTGGGCTATCAAAAGAATAAGGTTTGGCCTTGATTATGACTGTTGGACATTGCACGATGGGAATCACAATCTAAATGGAAGAGAGCACACAATAGTAAGGGTAGAATACCTTCATTTTACCCGTGCCAACACCATGTTCCCCAGTACATGTTCCTGTTCATTTATGGTCAAGAGAAAAATTTAGCATCTTTGCATCAGCACTAGTTCAACAATAAGGTAGAATAAATTTAAGCAGTCATCTATCTTATTGCTCTTATGCAAAAGATTAGCACTATTTTCTCATTGCTAAGAGTATAATGCATTTCACGTGCAAAAGACTAGATTGAAAACTAGGGTCATGGTATCATGAAGCATTGCCTAACGCATTATTTGAGGCAGGGCACAAAGAGACAGCAAGAAAAATGAGGAGTGATAAAGTAAAAAGAAAGGACAATAGAGGAAATAAAAGGAAGATATGAAGGGAAGGGCAGAGAACCAGAGGAGGATATGGGATACAGAGAATTCCTTCAAATTAAGCACATCATCATAAAACTTGAAATTTAACCCAAAAGGAGCATGATGGTGGATATATTTAGTTTCCTATAACCCTAATCTATCCTAATCAGAATTCCTTGAAAAGGTAACAAACAACCCTAATATAATTCTAATGGACAGAGAAAACTTATTATATAAATATATGCAAATGCAAGTTAACAAGTCTGTCTTCAAGAGTTCTTCCATGAATATATCATTTTATCTCATTACCGAAACATAAATTCCATGAAAATGTTACAGACCTTCCATTGTCAAAGCTGTATGAACCATAAAGTGGTTAAGCCTTTCAGCTTCCCTCCGCTCTTCTTCTTTGCTAGGATCAAATAGAATAATTGTGTGGAAGTTCCCATCACCAGCATGAGCAATAATTGTGCTGTAAATAATGAAGAGAAGCATTAGAATTACATCAGTTCAGCTGACCGTAAAAATGATGAAAAACAAAAAAACAAAGTATCTCCTAAAAGTACTATTGAGAGCATACCCAACAATTGGTGATGAATTCATCTCTTCCTTGGAACTTGAGATCAAATCTGCAAGGTTAGATAAAGGAACACAAACATCCTGCAGAGAAAGGAAAGACGATATTGACAACCTTAAGGAACCAAAAGGAACAGTATTGCAATTACAAACAGAAAACTGATCTTTGATTATTAAGAAACATGCAATCCTCAGCAGGTAATCTATCACTTGGAAATTATAAAAATTATTATATATTCTCCATAAGCAAAAAGGTATAAAACATCAAAATGAGAAGAAACTATTGTATTAAGTTACTTCCTCAAGAGAAAGAAAGCAGATGTCTTCATCTTAAAGAAGGATGGAAGCAAATAAATGAAATCGTTCTAATTAAGCTTGAAATTGACAGACTAAGTTACATCCCTGCAACTTTAAGCAGACATGGTTACTACAAACTTTCTGCTGTGGTGTGTAACATATTATGAAATAAAACTCTTGGAATTCATTTCCTTACCTTAAAGCAAGCCATTCTAGTAAAGATAAAACAGAGACTATGAATATAAACTAGATTTCTTACATTATGTTAACCCACCGTAATCATTGCATCAAGACCTGGTTTCAATGCAAAGCAAGCCCAAAGTGCCTCTTTCCTTATCTGCAATGACCAAAGAAATGACATAAGATTCAGAAAATTGTTTAAAATACAGAAATCCATGACTCAAACAAGACTCTTGTGCCAATAGATGTGCAGAATTTAAGTTAACATACCTTCCAAAGTTCCTTTTTAGCTGCAGGATCTTCTGCAAAAACAAAATCTGAGCCATTGTGTTCAGATGCAACCCTTTGAGCAATTTGGGTTTGCTCACGTGCATATGCTTCTTAAAAAAGGCAATTAGGAGCCATCATGAGCAAAAAAGAATGAGGATAGAACTCAATATAGCGAAAGACCAAAGTTAAACAAAATTCTTACGCTCAAATTTAGAGAACAATTCTATCCCAGTCTCCAGATAAGGGTAGAACAAAATGTAGCAAAAGGCCAAATTCTTAGCATTTTATTTTTTTTAAATTAATTTTTTAAGAAAAAAATGTAAAATAAAGTAACAAAAATACTTATTGTATGAAGAGATAACTTAATGTATAAAGGTCCCAGGTTCATATCTCCTCACCCCCAAACCATTGTATAAAAAAAAAAAATAAAGTATGCACACGAAGGTTTAAAATAATCAAATTCTCTCCAAATTAAAAATGGATCAAGCATGCAGAAAATTTTGAAGGGAAAAGGGGCCAATCTTACCAGTGCCCACAAATTCAAACATTAAAGTGGGAACTTCAGGTAAATCCTTCCCATTAGCAACATTGACAGCCCTTATTTGTACGTCATCCAATAATTCCACCCTCGAGACCTAATGAGCACACAACATATCAGAGGAAAAATATCACAAGCATAAAACTTACATCTAAAATCATTATTTGAACATTATCCAATAATTCTACCTTAGGACTTAATGAGAACATATAGATATCAGGAAAAAAATTACCACAAGTGCATAAAGTTTGCATGTTAAGCCCCACCTGTATACCCGACAACATTATTGCAATAGCAACATCTGCTGCATCCTTAATTGATGGGAAATTACACATTGCTACCTGTCAGAATAGCAAATCCAAATGAATAAATAATAAAGAGTTGAAATATAAATTAACAACAAAATGGAAGAAAAATCTAGGAGAAATTCTAATTTTGTTTGAAATAATTACAAAATACCAATAAATTTCTTAAACGATATGGAAAAATTCAATTTTCCTTTTTCTCTGTACTGATTTATGGCAGATCATGATGCCTGAAGAGAATTTGCTGAGATGTGTGTCCCTAGAAATGTGAGTCTTCTGACACATGTGAGTCATGACCATCAGATCATGTCTCCTTTTCTCCAGTTCTTAACTCACCAAATGTGTGGAAACCATGGCCTATGTAAAATCAAAATATTCCTACTAATTCTCCAAAGCTAACAAAAATCATAAAGTAGAAATAGCTTAGACCTCACAAGCTACCCAGCCTAGAAGCAAGTACATGGTTCCCTTCTAGATATATATATATATAGCAAGGATGAGGGGACTAGAAATATATATATATATATATATATACATACATAGCAAGGATGAGGGGAATCAATAAGACAATAATAAAGTACATACGTATCCAAACATTATGCCTTTCAACTATAATCAAAGATAGGTACCACTGAATGCTCTGGAAGTTTCTGAAGCCGTAAAGTGACTTCAGTTATTACACCTAGTGTTCCCTCACTTCCAATCATCAAGCGGGTCAAATCATACCTAAAGATAAGAAAAACAGAATTCCAAAACTTAAGAATATAAACAATTAACCTAGCAAGCACATCCAAAAAAGAAAAAGAAAAAGAAAAGAAGAATGGTTGATAGGTAGACCAAGAGGATATAAGAAAAGATACCCTGCAGCACTCTTTCTAGCGCGAGAAGCTGTCTTGACGATATCTCCATTGGCAAGAACTACCTGGGAAGTGCAAAGTGTTAGTAATATATCACTCCCAATAGAATAATAATAGACCAGAGGTGAAATCAGCAAACCTAACCTTGAGATTGATGACATTGTCACGCATAGTTCCATACCTACATGCTAAAAGCAAGATCATTAACAAAGATGACCATATAAGTAATATATCAATCATTTTTTATTTATAAGATTGAGGTTCAGATATAAGTTAAGAGAGGAAAGCATTTAACACTTTAAAACCCCATAAAGAAAATATAAATAAGTACTGTAACAGTAACTTCTTGACATTAGCTTAAACAAAAAAGGAAGCAACTGAAGTAGAGGAAAATCTACAAGTGGATGCCAACTTATGCACAGGAAGAATATTTTTATACCATTTGGGGTGCTGTATCTAGTTGAAACATCTAGAAATGGTTTAAAAAATTTTAAATGGATTTAACAGATACTACAAGTAGATGATGCCGTAGCCGTAGTCTTTCCAGAATAACAATAATCAAGTATTTAACCAAATTGACAAGCTAAAACACATATTGTGAAAATGTCAGGGTTGACATTCAAAATGATAGGACATCTGTATAGGTATCTTATGAAAAGAAAACATTAGAATTAAAGAGCACCCGGGAAAGCAAATGTCCATTATTCAAAGTTTTAAGAACATACAAAAGACAGCATTAATTAATTAAAGGTTTTTAAGATCCTTTTTTTCCTTTTTAACTATCATGGAGCAAACTCAAAAATCAAAAGAAAATGACAAAAAGGATAACAATCATAGCGGCATGACAAGTGGCAACTACCTCACAGCTAAAGAACCAGAGCAACGTGTAGCACACATACCCCCTATGCTTGCACCAGGCCCTGCATGTAAACATATTTGCGTATGATAATATCACTACAAAACTAATAAAAGATAGATATCAATGAGCATACCATAACATAGAATAAGGTATTTTTCAAAAATAATCGTGTATAAGCAATTAAAAAAGCCTGCTTTTAGAATTTGAGAAATCTAAGATTTCCAACAATTTGGATATTAGAAAGAAAAGACAACTAAAAAAAGGAATCACCTAGCAAATTTTTTATTCATTACGTTAGGAGAAACATTATAAGGACAATTTATGGTAATCTGACCTGGGTCAAGAGGAAAAAATAGACCATATGGCTCCAAGTATTCATTAAGCTCCATCCAACCGATTCCAGGCTCAACAACCACATCCATGTCCTCAATATGTAATGCTTTAACACTCTGCAAATTGAAGAATTAGCACAGCCTACACAAAGGGAAAGAAGAAGTTCCAGAATAGAGTTGTGTGTATGTATGTTAAGCTATAGAGATAAGTCCTGGTACAAATATTTTTGTAAAATCTTTTCTGCAAGCATGTCTAAAACAAAAAGAAGCATCTTGCAGAGTTATGCAGTGCAACTAAACAGGACTATGAGTGCTTACTGCAGCATCACCATGGTACCAGAAAACACAACTGCAGTAAGAGGGGAATACCCAGCAAGGCCCAAACACACTCAACCTCACTGCAAACCACATGCATACTTAAAAAGCAGGAAATAAATGATTTAATTAAAATAAATAACATTTTATAACACATGGAATATAATAAAAAATGATAAAACATACCTTCATTAAGGACATGTCAATACAAACACCTCCATTGGGAGACAAGGTGTGACCCTCAATTGACGTGGCTCCACCGTATGGTACAATAGGAACCTGGCCACAACACAAATGCACAAACTAAGTCCTAAAAGTACCTTATATTATTTTTTTTAGAGTAAGGATCCTCTTACACACAAGATTTACACATAAATATTACACAAAATGATAAGTATTCATTTTTCACCATGAATGAATGAGATCTATCACTACTTTTTAGATGAAAAGATAATCAACTTTTAGAAAAATAGGATAAAAAGTGGATAAATATTGCCCATTCATAGTGGAGAAATAAGTGCTCAGAATTTTGTGTTAAGTGTTGTGTTTAAGAGTTGTGTATAAGTTGGTTCTTTTTTTATTTTTTTTTCTTATACCCATGGTCAAGTAAAGCATGCAGAAAAACTAGATTATGAAAAATGTATCAGCTTCATCGTTTGGCCCCAAATATAATATTTGTATGAAAATCTATAACTAACTAAGATTATTCGACCCACAAGCACCAAAGTTGCAATGTAAGTATCAAAGGCCATGCCATAAGCCCATAAAAAGTGGAAACCAAGATAATTAATTGCAAAAGGCTATTTAAGCAGTTAAAGAAAACAGCTGGGAATCTTTCAATTACATAGAAAGAAGGCATGAAACACACCTTATGTTTGTTACAAGATTTGAGAATTTTAGAAACTTCCTCCTCTGACCTGAAGATAAGAATTAAAAAACTGGTGAATTTAGATGATTTCTAATCATATTGTACAACAGAATAAAAAATTGGAGAAAAAGGCTCTAAGATGATGTGATATTTTTCTTAAATCTTTTCAGTTGCTGCTTTTTTTTCCATTAAAAGGTCTGAAAACTTCAATCCCCTCCATAAATCCACAAATCAGCAACGAAAAGTTCCAGCATCCAGACGATTAATTAAGGATCCAAATCCATAACTTTGATAAACAGAAATGTTAAATAGGTAAATAAACTGCTGATCATTGCAAGAACAAGAGGCAGTGGCATACAGTCACAAGAAACTGATTCAGGAGAAATGATCTTGTCTTTTCCAAAACATTTAAAAGCAAATTTACCCAAACAAATAAATAAATAACATTTAAATGTAAAAAGTTCATCAAGTGAAAACAAGGCATGCTGCAGCAGAGAGGAACTAACTTGATGCTTGTAAAGACCACATCAAATTCATCTCACCTTGGGAAAACAACTACATCAGGGATATTAACTGCTCTGTGGAAGCTGTGTTGTGGCTTTCCATGGTAGAATCTCTCATCATAATCCATGGTCATGTTATCCTACACAGTTTTAAAGTTCCAAACATTAACTTTATATTTTTCTCCAAAAGTTTTAAGAAATCATGTAGATTTGACAGTGGTAAAATACTTGACAGATAGTCTTCAATTCATCAATCAGCTCTTGTGGGACTTCCTTGTAAGAGCCTTTCACTACAAACTCAGTGCTACCCTTTCCCCCAATGCTCATACCCCTGAAACCCAAGAAGTGTTTATTGAAAATTAACACAAAAAACAAATTCAAAATATAATCTTGCAATATCTTAGAGAATAGGAAGTGATAGCAGACCAGGAATCTTCACATAGAGAAGGCTGAGATTGGGTTTGAAAAGCAAGCAATCCCAGTGAAGCAGCCAGAGCCAGAGGAAGCAGAGAACTTGACCGTAAAGAGTACGACCCATCGGTTCTTCCGGCATTAACCACAGCTCCGGTAGGTGCGTTCTGAGTACCCAACTGAGATTTCTGGAGATGAGAGGATGAACGGAGAGCGTTGATGAAGTTGGATTTCGAACATGATCGTAGGCGAGCAATCCAGGACGAGAAGGCCATGCTTTTGACCGGAGAGATGAAAGTACCCGAGAACCCCCACAGTTCACCAGCGCTGAAATTCCAGTAGAAGATAACAACACTTCACTTCAGTTTTTTATGCAGCATTCGAGATATGGCAGCCAATGCCACGTCCGTGATTCACTGTATGTTCAACGTTGTCGCTGATCTTACATTGAGATTTCAATTGAAGTCTGCAACAATTTTAAGTTTATCAAGTGAGTCCAAGATCTTTTAAACAATTTCAATGCCATACTTATGTCAATTTTCTTTATAAAAGAATTTAGTTCTTAATTATTGTATGGATTTTAACCTCAATGCTGAAAAAGTCTTGGAGTATTAGTTTACCTTGATTGATTAGAGGATGTATAATGGGGAATAATAAAAAAATTTTATTTTAATGTCATATTATCATAATTAATATTATTTTATATAAAATTATATTTTTATATTTTTAATTTTTAAATAGAGCTCTTAACAGAATATTTCCAACAACTTGAGAATAAAAAAACAAAAACAAAAACCTTTGATCCAACGGCTTCATAGTTGTTGGATGAAAGAAAAGATAGTGCTACGCGTTACAAAGCATTTTTTTACTTTAAAATAATCATAATTAATATTATTTTATATAAAATTATATTTTTATATTTTTAATTTTTAAATATAGCTCTTAACAGAATATTTCCAACAACTTTAGAATAAAAAAACAAAAACAAAAACCTTTGATCCAACGGTTTCATAGTTGTAGGATGAAAGAAAAGATAGTGCTACCTGCTACGCCTTACAAAGCATTTTTTTTTTTTTCTTTAAAATATCATTTTAAAATTGAAATAGAAAAAAGAAAAAAGAGGAGGAGAACATGTTTTATGCAAAGAACAAAGTTTTTTTTTTTTTTAACGGCTCTAATAAGTTAAAGCCTTATTTCTATTTTATTTTAAAGAAGATAATGGAGGAAAACTCTTATTATACATGCTCTTACATAATTAAAAGTGTCATGATTAATAAAAGGATCTTATCTAACTCTACATGAAAGTCACTAATCAGGGAACTCCCTTAATAGCAAAATAACAAACTATATTTGATTTAGAGTCTTATTATAAAAAGTCAAAATACTTGCCACTTGGCACCTATGTCGTTTTTTTTAAAATTTAATCTCCACTCTTATAACATAGGTAGGTACAAAGTTAGGAATTTATGTTTGGAGAGCAAAATTCTAAAACCTTTTATGAGTCATTTAGTAATTTTTATGATATAATTTATACTAATTTTTAAATTAATTATTAATTTTATACACATATCACTTATATTATTTACGTCAAATTTTAAATTAATTAAATATATTTAATTATTTTTAAATAACAGATAATTTAAAACTATTAAATAAATAGTATAATAATATAATTTTTTTTAAATTACATATAT